TTTTGCTGTGAGTTTGGTGGAATTGGCAAGGAGTCATCTATTCCTCTCTTCAAGATACTTGTGAAATTCAACTGTCTTAATTTTCTGTCGAGGACTTTTATGACAGAGGCATAATGAAATTAACTTCATAATAACAACAAGTTATCTAGATTTGACCTAAATCGGATTATTCTAAATATTCTATTTTACTGCACATATTATTACTGAATACTCTTTATATATAAATCATTATTATTCATAAATTCCGTATTAAAAATTCCATTTCATACTTATTTCATAATTTTCCCTGTCTCCTTTTGAAAAAACAAATCCAAATAGGTAATACGTTTCTACCTTTGAGACATGGGGACGGGGCAGAATAAGTAGCTAATAAGTAATATAAACTAAATTTTTTCAATTCGTATCATGGACGCCCTTCTTAAATTCCCCATTATTATTTTTTATACTTCAAAAGTGTATTTTTGATAATGAAACTTTTTTTACTACGTTTTTATAAAATTTTGCCGTAAAATTATAAACGCTCCTTTTCAATTCAAATCTCCATTTTAATACATCCAGCCTCTATTTACAAAAAAAAAAAAAAAGAAACTTAGAACTGAAAACTTTTACCCCAAAACTTTGCATCCCTGGTGGCGCTTTGATGTTATTGAATTTAATCCTTTCTCAACTATTTTAAAGGAAATATTAAAGAACCCAACATTTTTATTCACACATGATAAAAAGTTATCCCAACATTAGCATTAATTTCAATTGTTAGGACAATTTTTGCAGAAATTGAAAAAAAGGAATAAATTTTTTTTTCCAATAATTCACCTTTGAGGCAATATTTTGCTCCATCTTCGCAAATTTTGATGCAATACTCCAATGGTGGCAGTCGGCAGGCGGGACAGAAATGTTAATGTTGTCTTTGAGTATGGATTGTTTTGTTCGTCTTCTTTAATCAACCCCCAAAGGGATTGTGGTTTATTTTTTAATTCCACTTCGGGGGCTTCTTTTTGAACTCCTTTCAGTTTGCACATGTGTAAGTGAGTGCGAATTAAAGGGGATTCGCAATATTCAATGGGAATACGAAAAAAAAATTAAAAATATTGCATAAGTGTAAAAAATATTTATTTCTTTAAAAATATAAAAACATAAATCTCTAGAATGGAAGTACTTTCAACGTTCACTTATGTTTTAACAAAGGAAGACATAAATTTACATATGAATTGTGAATCTTGAATATATTTCGTTTTTCGTCTTTCGCATATCAATATGAGTGATTATGCACAATACTTATTAATGACAAGTACGAGACTTTCCATAATCAAGGGGTGAAGCATCGTTGGTGAATAGCACTTCTGAATATACTGCCATTTCAATTGTGATATTAAAATTATTCCCTTCAAGTTGATGTAAAAAAGACTTTTAATTTAAAACGTAAAAATTTAAATTACTTCCAAATATGCTGAACGTCATTTAAAACGTGCGCATTTAAGTATCGCCTGAAGTCCTAATTTTTACCTCCATTTATGGAATAACCAACAGGTATACATAATACTTTTTAAGGTTCACCTATTCACTGATGGATTTTATCATTACCGCAATTTTCTTTAAATCACCATTTAAATCCTTATAACTTTTTATAATACGAATATCAATGTCAAGTTTGATAACGATGCCTTCTGTGATTTCCGAAATCGTATTATATCAGTTAACTCCTTTGTAACGATTTTTTGCATGCATCTGATATAAAAAGTTGGAATAGTAATAATCTATAGCAGGGCTGTCTGAAACATTTCCCACGGGCTTCCTACGTCCCGTGGTATCAAATTTTTCTTATTTATATTTTAGTAACACATTATTTTATTTTTATGGATCTATAGTAAAATAGTATTAATCTTAAAAGGGACGCAGTGTCTTTTACTTTTAAGATGCCTCTTCAGGTCTGACTTACGGACTGTAACTCATCCGTAGTATCAGATCGGACCTTTATTTGTGCTTAACTGAGTTTTGGTGCGCAAGGTTACTACTCTAAACTAACATAACCTTATCAACCAACAAAATTTTTCTTGCATTCTGAAAAAAATGACTTTAACAACTTCTTATTTCAATTCTGAATACGAAATGAAATGAACGACCTTACTTTAGAGATCGAACAACCAAATTTATACCAATCCTTAGCTGCTATTTTTATTATGAATTGTCACGATAAGCCCATGTTTTACCCATAATAAAAAAAGGAGTCATAAATTCTATTTAAAATACTTCAGATGTTGACATAGTGCAAATCATATATATTTTTATTTTTTTTCATTAA